TTTATTGCTCAGAATTTTCTATTTTATTTAATACCCATATTGTTATTCAACATTGCACAGAATTTTTTAATAAATTTTTGAAATTAAATTTGAGCCCTAATTTCGTAATATATCGATTTTTTCTCGTGCTTTAATTTTCTTTTTTATTTTTGTAGCACGGTGTAATATTAGTAGAACAATTCCTTACCCTTGCTACGCGTACATCCTGATGGCGTGTCTCTGTGTCTGTACTCAAATCATATTCACCCAGACGTACGAAAGATCTAAATGAAAAAATTGCAAAAATTAAGCTAGCAAACATTACTATGTTTTTAACCAACAAAAATATATTTCATTCTAAAATAAAATACCATATAAATTCATTTATTCAGAACTTGGTAAATTTTGCTACATATAAAAAAATTGTCGAACATACATACATACATACTCCGTATGGAAGTAAATTAGTGACACCGTAGGCAAAAAAACTCGCCAAAAATCTACGGTATATTATAGCCACTTCAACATGCACCTTGTTAAAGTAAAATTGAATGTGCTATAAAAATGATTTTTTTTTTATTTTTGCACAAAGTTTGAAGCTTACATTTGTATGGTTTTATAGTATGTCGTATATTTTTATTAAAAAAAACTATTATTACATAATAAAGAAACTTGTCGATATGCAGGTGTCTTATAGTTATGAGAAACACTATATTTTAAAACCTATGATTAAAAAGTTAATGACTAACAATACTTCAATGTATTTGAGATAGTAAATATTTAGTATAGTCGGCCGCATGTGGCGTTCCACACCAAAATGGACGGGGTTCACACCTCATGTGTTTGATTTGTTTCAAATTTTTAGGGTCGATGGACAAACATAAATAATGAATAAATATGTAATTTGAGCTTGATTAATACATTTTTAAAAACTTTACAGCACAAAAACAAAAGCAAAAAGATTTAATAGTTTTACAAATATCTCGAGAACGGGGTGCGGCAAAAATTAAAAAAAAAAATCACACATACACACATCAAAATTCGCTATGAAGAGAAATATTTTTTTAAATTTTTTTTTTCTTACACAATTTTTCACATAAAAATTTAAAAAAAAATATATTTTTTTTTAATTTTTTTTTGAGATGGCATATTTTTAAAAACTATTTTTTTGTTTTATCAAAAAATTTGTATGTGAAAAATTTTTCAAGAAATAAAAATTTAAAAAATATTTCTTTTCATAGAGATTTTTTTGCGTGTACTATGTGTGATTTTTTTTTCAAATTTTTTCCTCGCCCCGTTCTCGAGATATTTGGAAATCTATTAGTTTTTGTCTTCTCAAATTTCTCTCTTCTTTTGTTGTCTCAAATTTCATATTTATTTATTATTTATGTTTGTCCAGCAACCCTAAAAATTTTAAACAAATCAAGCACATGAAGTGTGAACCAAATCCATTTTGGTATGTAACGCCCCACATACACTTGTTTGGAATAAAGCTACTGCAATTAATGAACAAAGTTAAATCGTTAGAAAAATTCAATTAGGAAAAAAAGTTTCTTTTGCAATATCATTCAATGTCTAGACCTGATAAGTATAAGATATGGTTGTTTGAAAGAAAGAATATCCCGCATGATTTATTGATTTTTTTGCTTTTTTTTTATTCAAATGCAAACGAAATATGCAGCTAAAGAAATTTGAACAAACCCCTTCTGCTTGTCTCAAAAAGCGTAATGCAATACTTACAAATCATTTCGTATACAATGCGCCGCTGTGACCACATGCCGAGATGAGACCAGCGCACCACCGCATTTGAATGGCGAACCAGAACTCAGCGCCGGATAGGCTAACAAGGCCGCCCATGGCCAGTCACTTATTTTACTCGCTTTTCCGCCGACAATCTTCTTAAATGAACGTAGAACAGCGCCACAGCCACCTGCTGAGCCGGTTGATGGACTTGGTGCTGGATTCGGTGCCGGCCGTGATGGTGCAACATTACTCGCCACAGCAGAGGGACAACAGACAGCGTAGCCATAACCACCGCAATTTCTATTCGATGCGCGTAAATATTCAACGTAATTTTGGTCGGAATATCGACTGTATATCTCACGCAGCAACGGTTCGCAACTGTTGATTTCTTGAGGGAGAAAAGAGAGCGGGTTTTTCAAATGAGAAGGCGGAGAAAGTTGTTTGCTTGTCGATTATACCCACCTAAGCACGCTCCTTCGCTAGAATCGGGCGCACGACAATACTGTCCTGCTCGTTGATCCACGAATTGTGGTGAAACTCCATCTGTATTGAAAATGCTTCGTAAATCCAAAGACGGAGGCTGACTCACTGTACGTGTTGGTTGCGTCTGAGCTAGAAAAGGATTGGAAGGACGATGACTCACAGTTGGCTGGGATACTGTTTGTCGCTGAGGTGTATTAGCGGGAATCGCACAACAAAACTGAAAGCATATATGATATTTAATACGGAAATGCATCCTGAAGACCAATGCAATTTGTAGGTACCTACCAAGTTGCCACCACACACGCGCTGTGCAGCTGCCACATATTGTTGATTACGCGCACGTTGAGCATTGACCACTTGCGGACAAGTGTTGAATTGCGTACAAATGCCATAGTAATTCTCGGGAGTTATGCAGTTAGATTGAGCTGTGGAATGGAATATTGAAACTAAATTCTATAGGTGATTTTTTATTTTTATTTTTTTTTTTTTGAGATAAAAAAGTGTTTAATCATTTTTTCCTGTTATTACAAAATGTTTACTTAGCGCTTAAAAAATCACTATTTATAAGTAATTTTTCTGAGGAAGGAGCCTTTTTTTTACTGAACGCTTTCAAGTATATATTTTTACGGATGGCTCAAAAATGGATTGTGACGTAGGGGCGGGCATTTTTTCAACTGATCTCCAAATCGAAGAGTCTATTCGTCTACCGAATTTGGGCAGTGTTCTTCAGGTCAGGAGGTCTTTGCCATCAAAGAGGCGTGCGAAATAATTTTAAGCTCAAAGCTAGTCGGGACCAGCGTTGCTATTTTCTCGGATACCCAGGCAGCGATCAAGGCACTTGGCTCTGTAAGCATCACATCCAGTATATTAAAACAGTGCAGAGAGAACATTATGACATTATATTATAGGCATATCGTTGCACTGGTCTGGGTGCCGGAGCACAGCAGAATTCATGTCAATAAGATGGCCGACGAGCTAGCCAGGAACGGGTTAGCTCTGGATGTCACAGAGGCATATGAGGTTCTTGTTCCTCAAGAGCCGCATCCCTCAGCACTGGAAAAAGGTGGCTAATACACAGTAGGTGGAAAGGCCTAGAACCTTGTAGGATCTGCAGGAACCTGTGGCCCACCTACTATGCAAAACGCACTGGATTTCTCATCAAAATCAACAGGAGGGATTTATCTCGACTAACTGCCGTTTACACAGGGCACTGGGCCGTGGGAATCCATGCTGCATGACTAGGACTGGAACACAACACTTCTTGTCGTAGCTTTTATTCACCGTATGCAGAAGAAACGGTGGAGCATCTTCTCCGTAACTGCCCAGCAATATGCTTTGCAGGTACACATTTTTCCCATAAACACATTTTCAATGCTTTAATCAAAAAATTATTAAAAATTAACGCGATTTTTAGCCAATGGAAATTTGTACTAAAATTTTATGGGCTATAAAACTGCGTACCCAATTTAAAAGACTCGAAATTTTCCTGAAAATCTGTTGAATTTTTCTAAATGTTGTTTCAAACTTCGACTATTGAATATTTTTGTAATATATTGGGTCTTATGAATGAAAAAATAAGCATTCTTTGTTTTAATTTCAGACCTTTTACTCGATTTGTTCAAAGAAATTTAAGTAAAATGTATGAAATTTAAAGAAAAAGCAATTGCTTAACAAAAAATTGTTAAATTGAAAAAAATTTTCTAATCAAAAAAAAATTAACATGCGGAAATTTATTTTAGTCACTGTATATCGGCAAGGATTTCTATAAATTTTTCTATTAAAATATACCGATATAATAACGTAAGCGACATTTTTTTTCAAAATTTTTCTTTTGATGCAGAAATGCACCTAGATGCTCTAACCACAAAATAAATACAAAAAAAAAACGTCAGCAGTCGCGGCTGGACATGTAGATGATGTTTAACTTTTAGGTGTGCTCGTCCTTAAGTTATTTGTTTTTTTTTGTTATTTCATGGCCTTATAACAATTATATTCAACAATTTTTATTGAGCTTGAGGCACAAATATCTGTCACTTCTACCATTTTTGCAAATTATTGTTGCTTTTCCACAATAAATTTTTCATAAAAAACGGCCTCATGCTCAATAAAATTTGTTGAATATAGATATCCGACTTTAAAACCATTAAAAACGAGATTACTTTTTCCCCAAGCCAATATTTATCAAAGCTGACAAAATAAAGGACTTTAAGGCACAAACTCGTTGAAAAAGCAAGCACCAGATTTTCATAAAGCAGAAAAGTTGACCATTAAAGTCTTTGTCTTAAATCCATGTCACAATGATGTGTTAAAAATCGAATTTTTTCTTCCAGTTATTATATGTACATATGTTTTGCTTTATGAATATATCTTCCGGCCAGATCGGCCATCTCTTTGGAATTTCATTTGCAAACGTGTTAACAAATTTGTCAACCTTCCAACACGCATTGTCTTAAGTCTCATCTGCATTTGCATACATGAAGAGTATTCATAAATTTACATATATTAGGGTGTGTCACCAAAAAAAAAGGTGCTCTTTTTCGAATGGAATTATAAAATTCTTTATATTTTCTAAACTAATGTTATTTATAATAAACTCGCTTTTTGGAAGCATTTTCAATTAATTCCAGCTCACGTAAATCTTAATATTTTTCCGAAATATGTTGGTGAAAGTCTTAAAATATATTAGTTTTTATATTTTCGATGAAAAAGCATGACCCATTTTTTTGTATGGAGAGTGATGCACCCTAATATATAAATATATGTATACTTAACAGGTAGACAAAAAAATTACGCATATTTTAGTTTTGACCTGACTACTGCTTCTATTTTTTCTGCTGTGCATACATGCATATGTAGATATATTTAAATAGAGGAGCACATTTATTCGCTTAAGTAAAACATAAAAAGTTTAGATTTGCATACGCAGAACTACATAGTTAATTGTGCCAACAGAAAAAATTTAATTTTTTTTTAATCATTTTTAGTGATTCACAACAAATATTTGCTTTGTTTTGGTGTTCATACCTTCAATAAAATTTGTTAAAACTAAGCAAAAAATCACTAAAACGAAAAATTGTTTCATTTTTTTTCACTTTTTTATTTACACGGGATGCCTAGAATATTTAATTTCCTTTTTTTCTGGTAGACCGCAAATAAAATTTGTTTTTCTTTTTTCAAACACTTCAAAATGGCTTTTCCATTCAAAAGAAACTTCTATTTTATTTTATTAGTATCCAAAATACTAGCACCAAAAATTCATTAAAAATATAGCAGACTTTAAATGCTTTCTAAATCGAAAGATTGTACGAAAATTTCGCTTTTTAAATCGTATTTATTTTTTTAATTCACAACATTTACTACGCGCCCGTGCTAATCCATTTTCTTTACGAGACCGCATCGAATTTGAAACTGTTACCAAAAATAACAATCAAAGCCATGTACAGCGTTCGATCAGCGTTCTATTACGATTACCTTGAGAGGCTGTGCCATCATTTTTCTCTTCGTGTTTCAAAAAAAAAATCTTAGCCGGTTTTTAGACTGTACGCTGAGTATGTGCATATGTAATTAGCCAGAGATATGGCGCTGCGGGTGTTTCCCGAAAGCAACTTACTTACGAAGTTATGCATTGTCATACTACTTTAGGCAGTGTCTCTCTCTCTTCCGTTATGATTAATAAATGGTTGACATTCAATAAATGGTTGACTTCAACAGAATTCAGCTAGAGCGGAGGTCTTGTTTTTAAACAATTCAATAGACTAGTCTACATTTCTGGGTATTTTGCATATCCGTCTCGTACGCAGAATATTTATGAGTGTATTATAATAATGGGCTGCTCAAGCATCAAGTGGTAAGCGCAAAATGCTGAATTTCTCGTTGTTTTCTATTAAGACATTTTTTTTGGAAAGCAATTATTTAAAAATATAACTACAATAGTGAAAGGACTGTGTTTCACGGTTGCCAACTTTTATATTTTCTAAAACCGGGCAGTGGAATAAAGAGAAATGGGGGGTAAATTTTCAAACTATGCTTCGCTGTGTTAAACAGAATATGCATAAGGCATATTTTCATACGTTATACCCAATGTTATACCATTTTCCCACGGTATTCTGAATTACTTTGTTCGCTCCCCCAATTACGATCGCGAATCACACCATCCCCACGAGCACGTTCTTAATTCGTTTCGACAGTTCTCTGTTCCTGTCTCTGTTTTGTTTTGGTTTCTCTTCGCTGCAAAATTGATGCAAAATGTAGGTTCTTCCTAAAAATGTATAAGTTACCATATTAAATTAGGGATATACACATTTGTAAACTTTACTTTTCGTACCCAAGAAATTCAAGTTTTGATTTGTGAGCTAGTTTCGATAAATTTCCGATAAAAATTAGAGACGGCACACAGTGCCGCCTAAGTGGGCAAACAGCGAAAAATTCGTTATCTGCAATGTGAACTTGTTTGGTATTTTTGTAAAGACAATTTATCCACTAAAAAAAATTAAACAGACATTTCCCTAAAAAATTAATTATATGTCGCCAGGAAGCCACTAAAGTCGACAAATTTTATACTAAGAATTTTAATAAGAACATAGCCATGCGTAAGCTCTTCACAAAAAAAAAAGTCAAATATATATTCTTTGAAATAAAATGTTGGTTTGACGTTTCTTGTTTCCATATAGAAAGTGGAGAATTACAGGAATTAAAATTTTGCAATAAAATTGAACACAGTGTGTCCCTCGGTATATTAGAAAAACAATTTTGTGCACAGAGGGACGGATGGACGGACAGACAGTCACCGCTTAATCTATCTCGATTAGTTTGGCCTGTTACAAACAACCGTTATGTGAACAAAGTTATAATACCCTTGTGCACAAGTGCGCTCGGGTATACAGGAATGATTTTTTTGGTGGGAAAATACCTTTCGACCGAGATCCCATAAATCTAAATCAGAATAGTTTCGGCCCAGTTATTTGAATTTTTTGTAAATCAATATTTGAAAAAAGTAAAAAAGACAGCATCAAAAATCTCATTGTTACGATTGAAAATATTTTTAAATATTTTTATGCAGATTTTTTAAGCCTAATCTTTTTTGTTATCTGAGGGGACTTTTTTCAAAAAGTTCTTTAAGAAACTATTTTTATTCATAAAAAACCCCACTTGGAAGTATTTTTAAATCGCTCCAGCTTGCTTAAATCCTTAACATTTTTCCACAACTTTTTTATTGAGCTCGAGGCCGTTTTTTAAAGAAAATTTATTGTGGAATATTGAATATTTTTCCGAAATATTTTGGCGGACGTCTTAAAATATAATAAATTTTGTAGTCCCGGCGGAAAACCCGCAACTTTTTTTGGTGATGCAGTCTAATGTACATACATACTCAGTAGTATTAGGAAGGGTCACCAACGATAGAAAAAATAATAATATATAAAGACGTGCACATACATATATATATACACATACATATTTGCATTTGTTAAACAAATATGTACATATGTATACGCATATTTTGGGGGTCGAGATTTGAATAATTAGATACAGAAACGATTACAAAAAAAATTAAGAATTACAGTAGAAAGCGCGTAGTAAAAATGCACAAGAAAATACAAAAGAAAGATAGGGATTTGAAAATAAGCAAATAACATCGATATTGTTAGTAAAATTCGATTTTAGGTGAAATTTTAATAATTATCGTGAATTTTGAAATTGTTGCATAGTGAAATTAAAACAAAAAACTTTAGAATAATTTTTTTTTGTTAGGTTTCCTTTTGATTTATTAAAATAAATGAATTTGTATGTTTAATAACAAAATTTGGTTGAGCATAGTGTTGTTATTTATAATGGAATTCTAGGAAACTTCAAGTTGGTGTGGGTGCTGCTTAGGCGCAGCTCAGAGGGGACGTGGGTATATTACAGGCGACATGACGATTTAACAGGTGACTAACGTTTGACTGAAGGACTAGGTCAGGAAAAGTGAGTTGCGCATGATGAATTAGGAGCCCCGGCGGAACTCAAGGCTAAGTGCCGTCGGCATTTAGAAGGGGTGGGATGGCTCCATCTGACTCGGACAGGCTTCCATGTCTTTCGCTTTCTCCGCTTTTTATATTTTGGTATGACAGAAAATTTTGGTTTGTTGTAGCTGAAGGTAGAGGGGTGGCAAACCCTCAGCAAAACCCGCAGCAACGAAACAGTCTTTTTATATGATGACTTTAACTAAGCTTGCCGTGCTCTTTAATATAAAAGACTTAAGACACGAACTTGCGCTAAATAAATATCTGGTATTTAAAGTAGGATGAACAAAATATTCCGTCATGCTACGAATTGTGAGTAATTGGACACCAAAAAACCTTTAAAAAAGTGTTTTGGAAACTCTTGGTCTTTAATAACTTAATTAATCCAAGTTCCGGCCTAACAATTCATGTGATCACATCATCAACACTTGCAACACCATAAAAGTGCATCAATAAAAATGCAACAAATTAATTTATTGCGTCGATTAAACTCATCAAAAATGTTCAATATGGAATTAATACATATATGCAAGCATTCTAAATTCAGTAGGCGCTTTTGATCGAATTTTACGACAAAATCGAATTAAGCGTGCTTCGCATAAAAATGAAGTAAAAATAAAGCTGAGAGACAAATACTTTGCATATGATTACTCAACAGTTTATTTGGAGAAACCAAAAATTAATAGAAAGGTCACAAGTGAGTTGTTTTAGAAATATGATATTCGTAATACGATTAAAATTCGGTACTTCCTTACTTGACATTTTTAAAAAATAATAAAACCCCCAAAACATTTGTTTATTTAGATTCTATTTTATTTTATTTGTTTCTTTATTAAAAAAGAATTAAAGTATGACTTCTTACTCATTTAAAAACCATTAGCACATTTAGGCATTTCGAAATTAAAAGCAAAAATATAATAACTTAAATAAATATTAAAAAAAAAAATAATAATTCAAATCTCATGTTGTATCAGCAATCTTCTCCAATATCCAGTCGACATAGTGTTGCACACTCGAGTATACACCAGGCACTTCTGGTCGCGCACACCCCACACCATACGAGACTACACCGATCAAATAGTAGCGGAAGTCACCTTTATACGACTGTGTAGACGAAATAAAATCAAACTGTAATACAACGTTTTTAGTTTAAGTTTAAATGGTCACTTAATTTACCTCTGGTATCATCAATGGCCCACCAGAGTCACCTTGGCATGTATCTTTGCCGCCAGAGAGCACACCTGCGCATAGTACACCTGAATCGAATTGATCCTGCGAGACTAGGCGATTGATGCGACGGTAGCTATTTTCGCAGACATCATTTTTGAAAATCGGTATTTGCAACTCCTGCAAGACCGTCGCCGAAATACCACCCTCCATGGTTTTGCCCCAGCCCACAACGAAAGGTGTATAATTAACGTAGGATTTTGTGCGAAGCGATTGTGTAGTGGGGAGACAGATTGGTGAAATAGTGTCGCGGAACTGTACGTTGCGTTCGAGCCAAAGTAAAGCCACATCCGACTTGCCATTACGTCTGTTGTACTGTGGATGTGCTTCTTTCTACAAAAAAAAAAAAGAGAAGCAAACAATTCAAAAATTAATTTAAAAATTTGGAAAATATGTAGATGCAAAGTCCTCGTAATAGATGCAACTATCGATTAACTTATCTGTAGATTTGTCAGTATGTTAATCGATAACTTATAGTGGGAAACACTAACGATGTATTGCAATTTTTTTATCGATATCAATTTGAGACCGAAAATAACGGTTAAATATCAAGATTTATATTTTTAGATCATTGCAAAATTCTTATTTTTTATATATATTTTTTCCAATCAAGAATAAGATTAAATTGGGATTTTTATTTTTTTCAGACTAATTTAATCGTTTTTTTGTGATTTTTATTTTTTCTATAAAAAAATCGATATTTTGGGTTTTTATTTTGTTCGATCATTTTTAACCGTTATGATAAAGACTGTGTTTTTACTATCGGTTTAAATCTTTTATAAACAAAAATTCAAATCTTACAATAACGGTTTTAATATTATCGAAAAAACAAAAATCAAAAATAAGGAACTTGATCGAAAATATAATAATAAGACGATTGTTCTTGAAAAAATAAAAATTATAAAATAACAGTGAAATTTAATCAGCAAAATTGAATTTAAATTTTAATGGTTAAATTATGGTTTTTATTATTAAGATTATAACCGTTACGGTCCCTGATATTAATACATGTCTATTGGCTCGATCTTTATTAACAATTTCACTGATAGTGCTATCGGTTATATCGATTTCACGAAAAATTAGTTGATTCTTTCACCGATATTATGAATTTTGTATCGATATATTTATCGACATCGATTAAAATTTCAATTTTATACCCGATGCGTATAAATATATTAATGGGTACAATTTCGATAGGTGTATAGGCTATTGATTTTTGCAATTGAAATGTCAGTGATTTTTGATATTCGATGCTGATAAATGCAGTAGCCGATACAATTTTGGTAGGTACAGTGCTCGAAATTATTACGTCTATCAATGTTATTCAACTGCTTATCGATATTTTATCGATATCAATTTGAATGCCACTACTTTTTATATGCTTAAAAATTTAGTAATCGCCTATGGAGCGACATTTTTACCGACTTCATAGATTTTTTATCGATATATTTGACGATATTAATTTGAATGGTAATATTATCTAATTTCGATAGGCATATCGCTTCATAATTAATCTTTTAACAATATGTTTACCGGGATAGATTTACATAGCAGTGTGTTTTATTATTCGACGCTCATAAATGTACCTATAATTTTAATAGTGATAGATTTTGCCGATAAATTATGACAATAAAAAGATTAACAGAAGAATTTGGTTAGAAGTAGCCGATCAGATGTAAAATGACTAAAACAACTTTCAAAATCATGGCCAAAAATATACTAATCGATATCACTTCGATGAGTAATACGCTAAATATTAGTTCTTTTACCAATAATATCGACTTTTTTATCGATAACGATAAGTCGGTACTTCTTGACGTCCGATAATGATAACCGTATTAATTGATACATTTATCGAATTGTTTGTCGACATATTTATGGTAAATATTTTCGAGATTAAGGGGCTTAGAGGGATGTGAATCGTAAAGACAAAGCTTTAAAAATGAATGCTAAGTAAGGTCACATAATGAGGATGTATGTGACGTTATTGGGTTCGTCTATGACGAATTTGGTGGTATGTCTTAGGAGGGGAAGACCAAACATTTATAGCTACAGTTGGAATTTGGATTTCGCTTATAAAATATTGAATTAAATACTATGAACAATAACTTCTGTTGAAACTCAAACCCACCGCTTTATGTATATAAAAAAGATTTGACCCCCCACCACTTACCCGCACAATATTTATATCCTCATGTCGCGTCTCCGTGTCGGTACTCAAATCGTGTTCACCCAAACGTACATAGGCGCTAAAAACAAAAGAAATAAAGAAATAAGTCAGTAATTTGTTCATACTTAAAGAAGAATACCGCCTTCCCGCTCATTTTCTTTCACTTACAGATCATTCCGTATGCAATGTGCCGCGGTAATCACATGTCGTGCTGTCACCAGCGTGCCGCCACATTTGAATGGTGAAGCTGAAGAACCATCTGGATAGGCTAGCAGTGCTGCCCATGGCCATGCACCCTTCTTACTCACTTCTCCGCCAACAATTTTCTTATAAGAATTCGATGTATGACCGCAACCCTCCTCCAAAGTTAGTGGACGTGTTGGCACCTCGTCAGAATTGTGTATTATCACTGGCGCATTTGTGACGGCTTTGTCTGTTGTCGGACAGCAAACAACAGAACCAGCACCGCCACAATTGCGATTTGAGGCACGTAAATAATCAGCAAATTCAGGATCATTCGATTTCGCATAGAGTTCTGTAATCAATTGAGGGCAACTGGAGATGGCTAAAAAGAGGGAAAACAAAAATGTTATTCGTATCTCAGTATTCGTATGGGAATTATATACAGATAGTAAGTCCGGTAGAAAGTCAAAAGCAAATAGTTTTTAGATAAAGCTTGAATCCAAACAATTAACGCAATTAGTCCTGTCGCGGTCTCAGTTAATCCTTCCATATATTACCGGATAGGCAAACTTTTTGATTTTAATTCAGCGTTGGGGTATTTATACGGTTCGTGGAGCTAAAAAAGGCTCATACGTCAACAGATTTGATGCTATCAAGTACACAAGTCTAGTTGCGAGCAAGATATTTGCGGCAGTATGGTTTACACAGGGGCCATTTGACTACAGTTTACGTGAGCTAGCTGTTAAGTTAGATTAAGCGGCTTCTCAGTCCAATTTCAAAAAGGGCCGCCACACGTCACGGATAGAAGAAGGGACTTCGAAACAATTGTCTCATCTGATATTAATTTAGAGACGGATCTAGAATGATTGAAGGAATAGGAGCTGCTGTATTCTATCCGAAGCTTGTGCTTAGATTACTTAAGTATTTTCTTATCTGCAAATAACCCCTCTAAAGTCATTCTGAAAGGTTTTCATTGACGTTCAGGCAACGACCAAAGCAGTAATGGCTGCAATGGCAAACTCAATTTATATTATACAACGGAATAACAGGATAGACGAGCTCTGCATTTACAGACGAATCGCTATTTACCAAGGACCGGCCAACTAATGATCTAAGTATATGAGATCGCACGGATCAGCCAAGCTAACTTAATCTAACCAAGCACTTCAATATCTGAAAGTCTGTCAGTGAGCTGGTTTGAAGCATATGCGAATTCAGTTAATGTTAAATTAACTAAACTATGCTTTCTTTGGAAAATGGATATGCTACCTATTTTTCTTCTTAAGTACTTACCAGTACAAACACCGCGTCGTAATCTTGGATCAACACATTCCTGTCCAGATGCACGATCTACAACTTCTCTTGGCGCTTCTGTTGTACTCGTTGTTGCTATGGGACGAGAAGTTGAGATCTGAAGTGGTTGATTGGTTGGTGGTCTCGGTTGTATTATAACTGGTGCCGAAGTAGTTGAAGGTACGGGGGGTAGGAAAGGATTTGTCGGTCGTTCCGTAATAGGCTGTGGCTGCGGTTGTGGTTGTGGCTGCGGTTGTGGTTGTGGCTGCGGCTGCGGCTGCGGCTGCGGCGCTGGATTAACTGGCCGCGAGCAGCAAACCTAAAATCATTTTGTAAATGATTAGAATTTCTTATTTACTTTTCTTGGCGCCAAACATTATCTAACATACCACTGGATTGCCGTTAATACTGCGTGTGCCACACGAACGCTGTGATGCTATAACATAGCGTTCGGCTTGATTGCGATTGCGTACGTTGAATACATTCGCTATTTGTGGACAATATTGTAGTTGCACGCAAAAGCCGTAGTAGTTTTCCGGTGTGACGCAGTTATACTGGCCTGTGGAAAAAAGCAAAAATGGATTTTTGTTATTACTCAAAATATTTCCGGAGTGGCATATGTACTTAAAAAAAAATTATAAGTAAATAATTTTTATACTAATTGGTAAATGATTTCTTTCATCAACTTAGCACATGCTCGCAATTCTCAAACGGTGAATGAAGGCTAGCTTTTTTCATTTTATTTCCATTTTTATTAAGATGTACTTCCCTATTATTAGATAGAGCTCTTAATTTTAATAGTAAATGACATGGTGAATTATGCACAATCGTCTCCATCCATAACTTCAGCCATGACGATCGTACTATTCCCAAGGCAAATTGGAGTAATTAGATCTTTTAAAAAGGGACAAGTGTATCGCAAGTGGTCCCAAGTACTATAAAAGGCATTGCCATTAATGTACTTCCTGATCATCTGGAAATACGAGGATCTGTGAATTTTCATCTTAGGCTAAACTAACGTCAATTGACAAGGCTATTGAAAAATAAGGTGTAAGGTGTAAGGTAATAAAAGGTTCATCTCTATCTACACCGGCGCATCCAAAATAAACTGCGGTTCACTCTCGATCCGCTCCTGCCACATATACATACATACATTTGTACGTGTAAACACGAGTAGTCTCCTAAGTACATATATGGCTACAATTATCGCTCAATCTATCACTAAGCACTTTGTTTAATTTCAATTCATTGTCAAGGCTTTAAACAAATATCTCCTAAGTATAGTATATTATTGATTTGTTATATTTTTTGTATTTTCAACTCTCATATTCCTATTCATGTATTTTTATATATATGTATATATTTTTTTTTTTGCACGCCCGAATATTCATGGCCTTGAATTCGGGCCATCAACTGACCGCCAACTGGTTTACAAAACTTGCATACGAAATACTAAGTGCCATGAGTGTATGTATGTACAAACATATGTAGTATTTTACCAAAATTGATATTTAATGCACATAAAAAGCAGCTTCTGGAAATTAAATTAAGACCAGCAGCTGTTAAATTAAATACTCTCATACGCTTTCGTATGCTTTTGTATAATCGTAGTATATGAATACCAGCCAGCTCAATTAAATAATCATAAACGCAGGAAACTAAATTATTTTATTATTCATTGTGGTATCTTGTTATAACTAGGAAACAACCATATACATATATATATATATATGTATTCTTAAGTTTAAGACTAGCCCCTTAGATGCACCGGACCAGAGTCGTGGAATAGAGATTTTTCACCGGTGTGTCAGGAAGGAAATATTTTAACAAAAACTTTACTAAGCTGTTATGAATGGATATGTCCGCTGATATAGTTTAGGCTAGGGAAAGTACCCCCGCGTTTAAATGCTGAACAAAGCAAACTTCATAAAAACTCCAGTAAGCTTTCTAGCAGATCATTAAATAACCAAACAGAAGTGAATTGGAATGAATATCATCTTTTACAGAAACATTTTAAAGGAAACCACTTTTTCTATGTCATTAAAACGCTGCACAGTGGTTCAAAACTGGCATTTTGTATTCACAATTCACTGGAGCCTTCATTTTTTCACTCCATTTGATTATTATTTTTAATTAAAGCTAATAAAATTTGCAGGCGACCAATTGGTTTTTGAATTCTTTTTTGTTTGTATTAAATTTTTTAGAGCAAAATCCAGCAAAAGTAGCAATTCTAAAAAAAAATTCTACTATCCTGTTCCAGTTAATAAATGTTACATAATAAAAACAAGTTGAAAACAATTGTAGGGTTCCCCCGAAACGAAGAAAAAATACACAAAGAAACTTTAATGTCTTAAAAAAAAATTCACAGAAATTAAAAAAAAAATTGTTTCTAAAAAAATATTGCGTATGCAGTTTTATATATAATTAAATTTTAGTAGAACAAAGTGCAATTTGAAAGTGGCTAAGAGGTCGCATTGATTTTTAAGAATTTTTTCGCTAACATCTGCGTGCTAAATGGGAAATAAAAGCGTTATATTGTTATATTGTTAAAAATCAACTCTTAGCCACTTGGAACTTACACTTTATCATACTAAAAATAATTTATCTATAAAACTGCATAACCAAAATTTTTATAAAATGCAAACAAAAAGTTAGTTTTGGTGAAAAATTTTTTATAACAATTAAACTTTTTTTTTATTTTTTTTCATTTTCTGAAAACTCTACAATTGTTTTCAACTAGTTTTTATTATGTAACATTTATTAATTGGAATAGAAGAGTCGATTTTCTTCAAAAACTTGCTACTTTTTCCGCACCTTGCACTAAAAAAATTAATAAAAACCAGTGTTGGCAAAATGTTAATCTGATTAACGATTAAAAATTAACTGCTGCGCGATTAATTATTAAATTTTTTTAATCGTTAATCGTCGGTTGTGATTACGATTAATTAATTTTAATCGTTAATCGCTAATCCAATTAAAAAGAAAATCTGATTAAGCGGTCCAGTTTGTCTAAATTTGAAAGCAAACACCAGTTATAGTTATTATTTTGTGTTTCAAGCCTATAAAAAACACATAATATATACAAAAAATTATAATTATTGTTATTAGTAATACATAGACTGGAAATTTTTTCAACCCATCGCAAATGTGCAGGGGGTTATTAATACCTATTTTGCATAACGTCTCTTAGAATAGATCTTAATGAAAATGCACACCAAATTTCTTCCTAAATTGATGAGGAAAAACGACCTTGCCATACCAGATTAACTGGCCTTCTGTGCACAGGAAAATTCCAGAATAGATTATTTTATCACCAAATGATTAATAATTAAAAATTAATTTTTTAAACTAAATCGAATTTACTAATTGATTACAAAAACAATCGATAAGTGCCAACACTGATACAAACAAACAAAAATTCCGAAATCGGGCTCAATTAGTCTTTTGCAAATTTTATTAGCTTTCATTAAAAAAATAATAATTAAATTGAGTGAAAAATTAAGGCTCCAGTGAATTGTGAACACAAAATGCCAATTTTGAACCACTGTGCGCTGCCTTTTAAAGATTTTGTGTTTGTGGTACAAGGTCGTTCTATGACCCCTTAACCTTTGAGTGCGAATAAAAAAAAACTCACACATTCTGGACTATGGCTTCATTTAAGGAAAACTTCAAGAATATTTAGAAAAAAACGTTTAAACTTTTGAGTCTGTGTTATTTTTACAAAGGTAATTTTTTACTTTCATTGAAATTTTCGCCGTGCCGTATATTTAAGATTGTGCCTGTTTACTGGTTTAGTAGTAGAACTTGTTTCATACATTTAATCGCACTGGTGCCAATTGACTTTATTTTACATATCTAAATATTTATTTAATAAAATCAACATTAAATAGTTGACTTTTAGTGCCATTTTCTGACATGCATTTTCTTCATGATTTTATTTGAATATTCAAAAGTTTACTCATACATATACAAAAATTTTCTCACAATATTCCAAGACTTAGCAAAATTTAAATTAAATATTTATTTTAAATTACATGCGCGTGATTTGTTTTTTTTTTTTTTTGCTTTACATTTCCAACCTACCTTGTGAGTAAACCGCTGGCAGTATGGCAAAAGCAAATGCCAATAGAGCTAGAGAAGTTCTCATCTTATAGCAATTTCGAAACTTTTATGCACTTATTTGAGGTTTGAAAAATGCTGCAGCTTCACTACAATTTTTTATTTCTTTAATTTTCTAATTCACACCATCACTCGTACACGAATTATTTATTCTATGATTTATGTAATTTAAAATTTTGTCACTTCTTCACATTATTTCTTGATGACGCGATATGCCGATAAGCTTGTCGAATGCTAGCTTCTATGTACGCGTTCAAATCGAAACTGTTTACGAAAATCACAAACGAATCTTCACATAGCGCAAAACTGCTAATTTTTCAGCTAACTAAGTTTTCAGCGAATCTTTTTTACTCAAACCATTCAACAGCATTCGCATAAACAAACTGCCAGCCGGTTTATATTTACAATGCATATTTGTACATGTGTCGTGTATGAGCCGTCATCAATTATTTAGTAACACAGCCAGTGTCCAGTAGACAGTAGCCGGTTACATGAAACACGAGCGATTAAGGGTGTATGAATATATGTACTTACATACACATGTTTATACAAACATAAAATTGTGCGAAGTTAATGAATGACAACTTTATTAATATCTTGAAATTAATGCATAATTTAGCATGTATTTCACTTTGCAGCCCAGCTTAACGGGGATTTCTTGTGAGAGTTTGGTCAAAATTAGCAATGCTAACGATGGAAAATAAAATCACTTGCCAACAAACTCACTTGCCACTTAAGGAAACTACAAATATAAATTGCTTAATATTGAAATTAACATTGAGAATATTCAAATTTTGTTTAGATTAAATTATAGCAAAATTGCTCTGCTTACACTTGATTTCAAGAGCGCGAGAACTATGACGAAGGCATTCATTGCGTGTATTTACTCTCCACAACAAACGGAAGACTGAAAGCACGAACTTGCTCTGCAGCGGCGCACATCTTGGGAAGTAACCGTATCTAGTAATTACAGTTATTAGGCAACACAAAAAAAAAATACCCCAGAGACAAGCTCGTATTTAAATTCTATTTGTGTACAGTTACTATGAGAAACTAGAGAAATTATTTTCGCTCATATTCACATAAGAATACACGAATGTTTAAGTACTTTTACATATGCTATGCTATACATATCAGTATTTGAAAAAAAAAAATCGATAAACTTATTTATACCTTTCATAAAATTGATACCAAGAAAAAAATATTTCTGAATGAGTGCATTATCTGAACAATTGACATGTATGTGATTATGTTTTTTTTTTATTTTGAATTAAGGTACTGGCCCAATGCAGGCTTGCTTTGCTTGCTTCGCTTTGAGAACTGTCAAAAGTCATTTGGAATATACTAAAACGTATGAGGAGTGGCCAAATGGGAGCTTTGCTTCAATTGCTTTAGGGGCCTCAAAGTTTCAAATAGGCAAATGTTTTATTTGAAAGCGTTGTGTAGGCTTCTGACAAAAAGGTATGTTCCCGTTCTTAATAAATTCAAATAAACTGCTGCACACTTTTATGTACAAATTTTACGTAATTAAAAAAGAATATATGTATAATGTAAGTAATCCAAAGTTTAATAAAAATGATTCTATGTTTCCATATCTATATTTAACATGTCGCTGGCTAAAAATGAAATTTGCTAAGTCCATTTTTACAAATTTTACAGGAACTTTGAATACAACATTTTGCGTGTTTAAAGCAAAGCAAAACTCCATATGAATCAGAAGGATTCGATCTTTGTTAAAAGATTTCGTATTATTTTTGCCTTATCGGATATCCGAGGTCTCTTTGGACTTAGAAAATTTGTCTTTCATTGAATATAAACGAGAAAAAATAAAACACGTACCTTAATTTCCTTAATTTCTCTTGCTTCCTATATCAAAATATGAGGTTTCATAAAATGAAGACGTAGCAACTTTTCACAGAAAGCACAAATTACTGGTCAGTCGTCTCTTGAAAAATCGATTTTTTTTTTAGTTTGTTGTTTTTAATAAATGTACATATATTTATATATGTATGTATAATTATTACCATTCCTATGAATTGCAAAAATTAATTCGCATTGATTTAAAAATAAATCTGAAAAGATTGTTTTGTATTTCTTTTTTTTAATTTTTTGGAATTTTGTGGGAAAATTATTCTTAGTGTAAGGGAACAGACCTTGACTTTTTAACTACAAAGCTGATTGCTTTGACAGCGTTCCAAGCCGACATTTGGCCAAACGGTTTTTTGAAGTATATCAAAGCAAATTAAAGTAAGCAAGGCGAGCAAAGCAAGCCTGCATTGGGCCAGCGCCTTTACAATTTTGTATTTTGTATTAATTGGCGTTGATAAAAAAAAAGAAAATAATTTGTAGATTTTCAGATTTTTCGCAATTTTTGGGGTTTTCTTCAAAAATTTTCGGGAGTTATTTTGGAATTTCAGATTTTTCGTAACCTTTTTGGGCCTTTCGGAATTCCTTCGGCATTTTCCTGTTTTTGTTTTGTATTTTTTGTAACTTTTGCGGGCTGCAGGGTTTTTCGAGACCTTTCCAGTTTTTTTACCATTGGTTATTTTTCCGGTGACATTTTTGACTTTTCGTAACCTTTGGAATTTTTTATCATAACCTTTCGATGGTTTTTTTAACACTTCTTGCAGTTTGGAATTTCTTTCGAAATCATTTCGAAACCTTCTTGTAGCTCTGTCGACTTCTTATACTTTTTTTTTTGAGAACCTTTCCGGTTTTTAGGTGACCGTTTGCGATTAGTTCGGGATTTGATTGGGGCTTTTCAGTTTTTTCTGACTTTCCATAATTTTCGGAGAATTTTTTAAAAACCTACCAGAGTTTTGAGTGAGTTTTGCAAATTTTGGGATTTTCGCAGAACTCGTATGGGGCCCTTCAATTTCTATTGGGTTTCTTCGAGGTTTTTCAGTTTTTGAAAACTTTTTGGAGCTAATTCTGCAGGAGTCTTTTAGTTTTTTTTGAGATTCTTAGCAACTTTTGCCAGTTAGAATTTTTAGAATTTAAGACAAGTAATTTTTAAGCCAAAAAAAAAAATATTTACGAATTGATAATCTGGAGACTTCTTTGGGATATTTCGACTTTTTTGTAAATTTTTTAGATTTTCACGAATTTACGGGTTTTAAACATTTTCTGGGAATTTAAAAAAAAGTCTGGATTTCTTATGGACATTTGGAGTTTTTAACGACTCATTGTGATTTTGTTGCGGTTTTTAGGTATTATTTTGGGACTTTTCGGAACTATGGTGACTTTTTAAAATTATTCGGAATTTTCTTTTATTTTTGAATTTTACCCCGGATTTATTAGGTACCATTCCAATTTTCTTGACTTTTTGGGTTTGTTTCTTTATCTTTCGGGTCCTTGAGGGATTATTAATGATTTTTGCAAGTTTTCGGAGTTATAAGGAACGCTTCCAATTTTCGTGACTTTTTGGCAGTTTTTCGGTTTCTTATGGGATTACCTGAGGACTTTTTGTTTTTTTTTTTTATGACTATTTGAAAATTTTGGGAGGTTTATTTTGGAAACCTTCGGATTTTTCGTAGCCTTTTCAGCATTTGAGTTTTGTATTTCGAAATTTCTCGAGACTGCTTTTGGACTTTTTTTCGTGAATTTTTGAAGTTTTCCGGAGCTTTTGCAGCACTTTTCGATATTTCGAGTTTTATTTGGGGTTTTTTACGAGGTTTTTTTTCTTTCAGTTTTAAAGGTATGCTCACTTTGGTAAATCTTAATTTCAAAATATCAATGAAATTATGGCTCCTAATTTCGTCTGAAAAAAAATTAAATAAAAAGCTGAGGTAACCATTTTTCTGGCTAAAATATTTAAGTGAAATTTAATATTTGGTTAATTTTTATTTGTATCTTGTTTTTTTAAATTTATAGCCGGCTCGACCTCTGTATAATTTTTATTCTGTTAGGATTACATTTTCTCCATTATTAACTGGTAAAGGTTAAAAATTGGTAAAGGCCATTTTATAGTTTTCTTTACGCTCAGTTGAATTGTGTACCCATCTTTCCCCAAAGCTCTTACTAATATCCATTCAACTACCATATATAAGATTAGATAAGAAAAAATTAAAAACATTTTTAAGAAGAAATAGAACGTTGGAGGACCTAAGAACCTTTGTTATCTGACAAAGTAAAATATCTTTAGAAAATATATATGCAACAAACGTAGTGCAAAAAAGGTTTCGAACTAGAATATTTTTGAACAGGGTTGCCACCTGTGAAAAAATTAAATTGAATAAGTAGTAATTTAGGTTAAACAGTATGGCATGGGTACCCAAGAGAAGGCATTTATGGACATATTCAATTTCATTAAATAGAGTTGACATCTTTCAGAAATTAAAAGTATTTATATACGCATTACGTACGTATGTTGAAAATATTATGATACTCATTAGTATAAAAGTAAAATTTTGTTTTTTTTTTTTAATAGCGTTGCTACCTAGCAATAAAAAATAAAAATAAAAATAAATATTTGTATACGTCTGTTGGTAATAATATGTGAAACAGTGGAGTAAAATATAAAGAAAAATGGCATAAAAAAGCACACGACAACAATAAAGAAGGTCGGCTCTTTCAATACTTTAAAGGAAAAGATTGCTTAACCTTTTTCTATTTAAATACTTTTGTATTGTAGGACCTTCCTTTTCTCTGGGCTCTACATTTACACCTACTATTTTAAATACAGCCGCTGACTTGACGTCCTTACATGCTATAATTAAAATTTAATCTAGTCTAACATGTAATTCACCTTCCCATGCAATTCAATAGAAAGTTGTAATATTGCACTGCAAGAAAAATAATACAACGAACATTATTTGGTCAATTGAATCACTTTGAGAATTTTTTTTGGAAAATTACGTATGCATTTATATATTCTGAATTGCTTAATAAATTCTCACATTTAAAATTCTTTGAGCATTACAAATTAAAATAAAATCAATAATCGTGTCCGGCATTCGAAACTAGTGACCAGTGTGTCATCAACTGTGTCAGCGCCGTTTTGCGGCTGCATAAGTAGTAAAATGCTAAAATTGTATCATCGAGTTGTGGGCAGCAATAGCAACAGTAATAGTATTAAATATGTAGCATAAATGCTGAATATCAAAGTTGTGCTGCAGTTGCAATTTTTATTTGCGCCAGCTTGGCATCCGTTTATGCGGATATTCCAAATTATTTACGGATTTGCGTTTCAAGGTAGTTCAGTTTATTTTTTTGTTATTCATTTTTGTCGACATTGCGTGTAAACGCTTTTTCCAAGAATGCTA